CAAAATTATTATGTAAGTTAAATAACAAAGGTGACAGGATACAGTCCTCTTATTGTTAAGAATAGATTTGGTGTAATGTTCTTGTTAGTTTATATCCAGCCTTTATAATGGAAGGACTTGCAGGATACTGTTATCATTAAGTATCTCAATAAAGTATATTCCCATTTTTCCTAATCTGGTTTACAATGAAGGTTGACACGAATATTCTTTAAATTAACTAAAGTCCTGAATCAAATCAAAGTTGAGAAGATGAAACTTAACCCTAGGGTTCATATCCATGGATTGAAACTAACCAAAGAGAGAAATTAACTAAAGAGAGAAGCAACCTAGAACTAAGAAGAAACTTCCTGACAGTTAGAACCATTAGCCAGGTGGAACAACCTGCCTCCAGAAGCGGTGAATGCTCCAACACTGGAAGTTTTTAAGAAGAAACTGGACAGCCATTTGTCCGAAATGGTATAGGGTTACCTGCCTGAGCAGGGGGTTGGACTTGATGACCTCCAAGATCCCTTCCAACTTTTATTATTATTATTATTATTATTATTATTATTATTATTATTATTATTATTATTATTATTATTATTATTATTATTATTATTATTATTATTATTATTATCCTTCGTTAATCAGTGCTTGATTATGTGGACTGAAATAGATTTTTTTCCCAGGGGAACTTGAATAAAATCTTCTGATGCAAATATTGTTCATCCATTCCTTTGTATTTCATGTTGCATCCACTTCCTTACTCTGGGAACCACAACCAAGCAGCTAATTATGTTGTTAAAATACAGATACTGAGGGCTATTCTGACTCTTGTGAGAGAATTTATGTTGTTAATACTTGCAACTAAGCTGTTTGAGTATGTTTCAGACTATTGTTTTCTTTTTAAAAAAGTTGTCAGTAATTATAAACTATCCTGTTAGCCACTGTGTCATTAAAAGACAGACATGATATATTAGTTGCCAGTAGTTTTTAACATTTCAAGCCTATGAAGTATATCCTTTGCTCTACTTGAGAAGATGAAATGAATAAATCAAATAATTCATGATTTTT